CTGCCAATGCTATATGTTAGCATTGGCTAAATCGGCCCGGGGTGGTATTGCAGCATGTCAGCGCACGTCATTTTGGCCACTTTTGAGCTGGGACCCTCCCCCACTGGGTGAGAGACACGCGTCTGAGACATGGATGTATTATATTAACTGGATAGGGTATTACTAGCTTGTAGCTGAATAACCCATGTGCTCAGGGGATTCTCGCGGTACTGCAGACTGAACCAGACTAAATTCACGTGGGCTACCCAGAAATTTTCCCCATAGAACTCAATGCATATTAAAACAGCTCAACCTCAGCTGACAGAGAACCTACAGCTTTAATAAAGATCGGATTTTGTGGGGATTTTAGTGTCCCTTGTCATCCTGAACTTTTTTTCTTCTTAAATCCTTTGGTTTTGTTTAAATCCACACTTTAGTGCCACAAACTCTGCTCCTCTGGCTCTCGCTCTAACTCCCGCTCTGATGAACTGCTCTGATTGGTCAGAGCGCGGCCGAGCCCCTCTGTGCACGTGCGTGAGACCCGGTGTGAGACCCACACACGCGTGTTTCGCGCAACGCATTATGGGAGATCATCCACTGCACAGAACCGGGAGGACCAGACGATGCCCAAATACAGGAGAGTTTCCCATAGATCTTTGCGAGTTTCAGGCAACTTCCGCTAATCTTTCAGTCCCCATGCCGTCACAAAGCGCCACTGAGCACAACCATTCATTTGAATAGGGCGCCATCTTGGATCGCCGGGGCTTGGTCTGAGACGCCGTCACACACTGCATCCAGCGGACCTTGCACAGGGCAAGTTTTGGCCGCTTCATCTATCATACACAGTAAAAACAGCAGTGGTAATGTGACTCCGATTTGAATTTATCTCAGATAGATTCAGATAATATTAAGCCTGGTATTACCATGCCATCATACTCATTAAATTTTGTACAAGTAGGTTTAGGTCTGGAGCAGTGGGGGCGGGTCCCAGCTCAAAAGTGGCCAAAATGACGTGCGCTGACATGCTGCAATACCACCCTGGGCCGATGGGTTTGGACCCGGAATAAGAATTAGCCAATGCTAACATATAGCGTTGGCAGACCTCTCGAAAACGTCTTTACAAGATGGTCAAAAAGTTGGCTCTTGGCCCAAAGCTCCGTTCCACATGTGTGTCAATGCTGAGGGGGGTGAATTTTTTTGGTCCACTCTAGTTTACTTGCTGTGAATTTTTGAAGTCTCTCGTTCAAATGAATGGAGCTGCGCTGGCTGACGCATGCGCAGATGCGTTTTTTCACAATATTCTTGTGGGCGGGACCACTCGCGGCCATCTTGGATTGCTCCAGTAGAGCAGAATTTTTGGCCCACTAGTTTGAATGGCGGAGATAGTATTTAGAGTCTATGGTCTAGATTTTCTCAATTGTGGTCCGTGAACAGGTGGGAGGGGTTAGCTCCTTTTGCAGATTAAAACTGGATCTGAGTTTACCGTGACGTATGTAATGCACCCAAGTGAGTCGCTAGCATTTAGAATTTAGCCTAGCTTTAGCCATCTCCTTTGCCGCTAACGGAGCCCATGGGGAGTAGAACCACAACAAACTTGCTAAAAATTCCTCTTGCTCCGGCCTCAATTTCTTGATATTTGGAGCTGAACCAGAACTGAGTACTTTACTATCGCATTCGCTGCCATTGCCAAACTACAAGGAGCAAAATTTACACAATTTTTGAGCAAATGTGGCGCAGAATCTTGACGTCACCAAAACCCGCCTCCCCCGCTCACTGAATGGTCGGATGGGATTCAACCGAGGTAACTGCAGACACTGGGACCAGACCCAGACATACTGTACAATTTAATGCATAATTGAGTTTATGGATGGCTAAGGCCAGGCTAGAGAATATTTGGTCCCACTCAAAATCAGTGGAAAATTTACTCTTTGGTCAGTGTCTGTATTGACATTATACTACTCATTAAAGTGTAAAAATGTAATATACACAAACAACTTTACTTTGGAATATTAACACTCTGTACACTGGACTAAGATGACTGTTTGATTGTTAATGCCTGTTCTGTTGTTTTAACTGCGCAAAAGCAATAAATACTTACAAACTTGCAGTAGTTATACACTGGCCTTTCAGACAATTCAGGAGTCAGATATCGCCATTTTGATGAAATTTTAGCACACGGGGAATCCACTTTCTCCTCTTCAGCAAGTCACCAAGGACCTTTCGACCTTATGCAATTGGGCGTAATTCAAGTAGTACATGGGAAAACCAAATAATATATAATGCGTTTTGTTCTCAGTCAGATAAGCCAAAGGTTAAATAGACTAATCATTGCATAAACACTCTTTAAAGGTGATTTGGCGATAGTCTCTGGGTCGGGCTGTTAGAACGGCGGAAGGAACTTGGACGTTATCAGGAGAGCAGCAGCAGAAAGACCCCGTTGGGAGCGCAGTGTGGAGGGCGCGTTGCTTTTTAGGGTTGATGTAATGTTTATGCACTGGTCAGAACAGTCACTTCCTCCCCCTTCAGACAGCCAGGGCCGAGAGGGTAAGGAGCAGGAGGGTCGTCTGGTTCACTGTAATTCCCAAGAAGAAGCCTCATAAAGCACACACACACACGCACCCACACAAACAAACACACACAGACACACACACACATACACAGTAAATTAAGCAATGGTTTTGTTCACATTTGGACTTTTATAGACATTTTCAACTTGTTAATGTTACGATCACATTTAAGATGGGTTTGCAAACTTTTCTCTTTTCTCCCAGGTATAATATATTTTGTTTGTTCCAATCAAGCCACAACATGCTGAATTCGTCTCATCAGAAAACATGTTATCGTTTGCACATACTGAGTGCTGATTGGGTGAGTGAGGGTGGACCCCTATTTTTGGACTTTTCTAAAAAAAAAAATGTATCTGAACTGGTGACAAAATATATAAATTCTAATATGTAAAACTATTGATAGAATTGTTTTTGAGAAATAAATATAATACGTTACTTATTACTAATTACCTTTTTAATGATTAACTTTTGTTTCCTGTTGCCAGATTACTCAATAAAAATAAGGGTGTAATTTGATTCCAGAAAAGTCATTAATCATTAGTTAATAGTTTTATTATTTATCAAAACTACGTCATGTTGCAGTTCTTATTTCATTAAAATATATTGCCTCACCTCTGTGTCCATTCTTCCACAGGACGATAGAGGGCAGCACTGGCACTTGTCCTTGGTTCTTTATGTGTCAAAACAAACAGCGAGTATTTTCTAATTTTTGTTAGAATTAAAACAATAATTTGCTCTTGATTTTGATGTATCTGATTTATATCTGTGGGAAGAAGTATCGTCTTTAGTGAGCTCTGACCAGAAGGTATGTGACCTATTGTTTGTTGTTTGTTTGTCTGCGAGGAAAGTACCTACAAAAAGTTATTGGAGGAATTTAGCAAACTTTTTGGAGGTGATCTGAATCACCGTCTGGATTTTTTAAAGGAATGGAACAAGAGCTTTTCTAGTTTAGTATCGAGGTGTATCAGGATATATTGATTCTCAAGAATAGAATATCAATAGAGGGCTGTAGGGCTGTGCCATAATCCCAAGTATAGTGATCTCATCTCAGTTATCCACCAATCATGTAACAGCACAAGATCTGAAGAGAGTGTCCACTGACAAACCCAAACTCAGCTCAGAACCAGAACCAGTTTAGGACCAGAACCAGTGCTCGAACCAGGACCAGTCCAAGACCAGAATTACGTAGAAGTAAACTATACAGAAAAAGTTACAAACAAAGACCAAAAATGTATAAGTCATTACACTTCCAAAAGCCGTCAAATTGACTGCTCTGGGAGTTCTAGTGTTAACCAGAGTACTTTGTTCTACAAGTCAACAGTGCGTTAAAAAACCTCATTATTAAATCATGTTGTGACCAGTTACACTAGTGGTCTGTCGTCTCTGTCTTACTCTAACCCTTCCATCAGTCTTACGTTACAACATGAAAACCTGCAATATTCTACATATGTACAGGAGTTTACTTTCTTTCAAAATGTAGTCGGTGTGGTTTGTATTTTGTCCAGCAGCAAGTTCTGTATTTGACCGGTTATGGTTATACATTTGAATATTTGACTTTATCCTTTGCGTAATCCTCTGGGGAAATGAAAGGTGAGAGTCGTACATGCTGTGTCTATAATGTCATGAGTTTAATCTTTAGCTTTGTGGTAAACAGAGCAGTGTGTGAGTTTTGGCTAATCAGTAATGTGCGATCGGACCAACGGGGGAAAACCATGAGACCATCCAAGCTTTCAAAAGTTTAGATCATTTGAATAATGTGTAATGAAAAGTTTTTTTATCAGGAAGAATGGGTCTGTATAATGGTTTAGGTATTAAGGTGTGAAAACTTCCTTGTTCTGAGTTCCAGCATTCATTTCTGTGTATTTGCTGCTATGGGGATTGATTAAGTTTGATAAGAAAAGCAAACAAAATCAAAATAACAATCAGGTTTCAAAAAGCGTACAAAAAACCCTACCTTTTTGCAAAACCAAAACAACATATTTCTTTTACATAACAACATATATATATATTTTTTTTTACATCAAGCAAGAACATCTATTTATAAGGTAGATATTTTATTTTATTGATTTTATTTCATTTTAGTACAATCTTCACCACGTTTTGGGGATTCAATTTGAAGAATTTGCTCAAGGGGTGACACCTTATTGGTATGGCACTAGAATAGATCTGCCTTATCCATAAACTACTTGCTTAATTGTATGCCTTTCAAATATTTTCTAATGGCACTAATTTGCAAATGACAAAGAAAGAAATGATTTGGACTAAACTTGCTACTTTCCAACTGTTGTCTCTGGGAAAATTAGATTATGTGTGCTCCTTATTTCTATAGTTCTATAACTGGAGATGCAACACTGACATCAAAGTCATCAAAATTAGTTGTAATACACATCTCACTGCTGACCTCTGCTGGTATATATTGAGTAATGTCTTTTTCGTTTTTTTTTATCTCCACAGATCTCCCAAGCTCAGTGCAATGGTCAGTCATAGTTAAAACAGCAACACATTTGCATATTTCCTTGTAATATTTGCACTTAAAAATGTTTTCTTGTCATTCTCAGGCACCTCTTGTAATGGTAGTGTGCAGGTCACCACGACAACCACATCCATCTCTGTTCCAAACTGCAACTTGTCCATTGAAGGAAGCACTAATCAAAGCAGCGTTCTTACGGATCTGACTCCAGGAGAAGTGTTCACTGTTCAGGCTCACTGCTTCAACTGCTGTCTTAATGCTACAACAAGTAAGTTGGGTAAAAAAGGATGAATTGAAAGTGCTCACAAGATTCTAAAGGCGGAGTTTGGAGTTGACATTACTTCATTACTCGTGTAAAACTTCATTAGTGCTTATATCTCAAACACATTTAAAAATATGTACGTTTTTGAGAGACAAATAGTGAGACTATTTATTTCACTCAAATGTATTTGAAATATATGCATTCAAGATTTGATTTAAATCTTGCCGAGTGTTTAAATGTCGTACAAAGTATGTGTAAACAGGAGCTCATTTGGAAAAGCCAATAAAAAAAGAAAAGTCAAAAATTGTGCCTGATGGTTGTGGGTTCACGCCCACCACAAGACCTTCTCGACCGAGTCCCACTGATGTCTGCTGTCATTGTGTCCTTGAGCAAGACACGTCAAGTCACTCCGCCACGCAGCCTAATGAAAAATTGGATTCTTATTGTCTTTGAATTTAATGAGATTTTGGAACTTGTTATTTACTACCAATAACAACTTAATGATAATAATAATAACAATAATAATAATAATAATAATGATAATAATATGAATAACAATACAGGTTGCAGCCGTATATTTCAACACTATTTATTCAACTAATGCTGATTTTTGTTTTAGTACTGGAAAGTCTCTTGTATCACTTGTAACATGTCATAACACAGTTGGATAAGACAGACTTATCTTTACAAAATAAATTATGTTACTAGAGAATTGTAAACATTGCAAATTGTTAATTGCAGCAACATGCAATGTAATAATCAAGATTGTGATAAGAGTTTGAGGCTAAAGCATTGTGATTGTTTGCATGACAGAGCCAGAAACAGTCCAAACACTTAACATCAGCATCATGACATCATCACTGTTCTTAACCTGGACTAAACCCATTGGAATCGTGGAAAAGTGGAGAACTCAGTAATCACAAATGTACAAACCAAACCCACCTTCATCAGGCCATTTAAATCTACAGCTGTGCCTTTAAAAAATCTCTTTGAATAAGGGTTAGCAAATATAGTATTAATTCATATTTGTTGCATATGTGTATCTTCTCTTTTCTGACCCAACAGAACCAGAGAGCGTTCTTAATCTCACTGTTACTGATGTCACAACATCGTCCCTGAGCTTGAACTGGACTAAACCACAGGGACGCAGCTCCATCTATTCAGTTCAGTGGACTGATGGAGGCCACTCCAAGGAAGAGACTGTGACTGAAACATTCAGAGTCATTTCTAACCTGACTCCTGGTGTGGAGTATAATATAACTGTCACTGCTGTGGCAGGAGACGGTGAAACAAAAGGAAGTGGTGTGAGCATAAGTCAGTTCACAAGTAAGTAAAAGAGGAGAGGAAATGTCAGATAAGTCCACGGAATCACTGACATGTCCTTTGTCCTTCTTCATAACATGTATCAAATCTGGAAGGTGACCGTTTTTACTGCACTGACAAATATTTTTCACATTGATAAATCCTTCCACTCAAGTTGTTACTATTTAAAAACAGAATCCAAAAGCACAACCAGGGTAGAACAGCCGAGTTAAAGTAAAACAAAAAATCTCTAGAGAAAACAAAAAGCAAACTCCTTGGAGTCCTTAATCAAGCTCCAGGCAAAAACAGTACAGCACAAAAACTGGTCTTCCACCTGAAGAAACAAAAACACAAAATGACTAAGTCCAAGAAGTGTAGCTCAAACATCTGAGTCACAGATTCTTCCACAGACACAGACCAACTGGCCAAGTGGAGATCCTGAGAATAAATATGGTGCTTGGAGTGGAGGCAGACGGGCTCCCTTCAAACTGCCAGTAGCAGCTCATGTGCAGTAGAGGACAGAGGAGACTCACAGACACACAAGGGGAGGGAAGGAGGTGCACAAGAGGAGCAGGGAGGAGTAAAAACTGTCCTCATGACACAACTTTGTTTGACCTGGATCAAAGGTCCACACAGACACATGTTATAGAGTGTGAAAGCTGTGTCGATTCATGTAGTTGTATTCGGTTATCAGGGGCAATGTGATCACCTCTGTGTGTGCGTCTGTCTGTAGGCAGGACTGTGGTAATGTAGATATTGTGAGACGTTAAATAACCCCAGTTAAATGTCTGCACAGATATATTTATTGATTTATTTCACAGGGATAATGCACATTAATGAACATCAGTATAAAACAAATGTAAATATGCCGGATTATAGCTACCAAGCTAGTTTTCATCCTTAGTCCCTAGGCACGAAAATGTATGACAAGAGATGACAACATACAATACAATAAAATACAAAATAACACAATACATACAACACAGGTAAAAGATCTACTGCAGTGTCTCCCAAAGTGGGGTCCGCGGCCCCCTGGTGGGCCGCGAGGGTACTGCAGGGGGGCCGCGGGAGGTCATAAAAAAAATAAAAATAATAATATAATTATTTAATGTTAAATTTATAATGTTTTGTTTGTAATATTAAAACATTTGTGTTTGTTATTTGACTTGAATAATCCACTGTAATCATTTTTGTATTACAATGTTTGTAGCAGAGGCTATTTCCCCAAAATAAAATAACCAGAAGAGCCTATTCTTAAGTTTGTCTTCTTGGTTATTATTTTGGGGGGCCACGCAGACCCGTCAGATTTTTAAGGGGGCCTCGGTGTTACTGAGTTTGGGAATGGCTGATTTACTGTATGAATGCAATCATCAAATGTATCTTATCTTTTCTGACCCAACAGAACCAGAGAGCGTTCTTAATCTCACTGTTACTGATGTCACAACATCGTCCCTGAGCTTGAACTGGACTAAACCACAGGGACGCAGCTCCATCTATTCAGTTCAGTGGACTGATGGAGGCGACTCCAAGGAAGAGACTGTGACTGAAACATTCAGAGTCATTTCTAACCTGACTTCTGGTGTGGAGTATAATATAACTGTCACTGCTGTGGCAGGAGACGGTGAAACAAAAGGAAGTGGTGTGAGCATAAGTCAGTTCACAAGTAAGTAAAAGAGGAGAGGAAATGTCAGATAAGTCCACAGAATCACTGACATGTCCTTTGTCCTTCTTCATAACATGTATCAAATCTGGAAGGTGACAGTTTTACTGCACTGACAAATATGTTAAACATTGAAACATTTGTCGAGTTTGTTTGACCTGGATACAAGTTTCCACTCAGACTCATGTCATAGACTGTGTCAGCTTCAGAAAGATGTGTAGATTCATGTAGTTGTAGTAGGTTATCATTATCCTGCTGATGGATAATGTGATCACCTGTGTGTGTATGTGTTTTTGTGTGTGTGCGTGTGTTTGTGTGAGAGAGTGTGTTTGTGTGAGAGAGAGTGTGTGTGTGATTGTGAGTCTGTTTGTCTGGAGGCAGAATTGTGCAAAAACTTCGGGTGAATTAAGATGAAATTAGGTGTGTAGATGTGATGTGATGGGAGGAAGACACTATTTATTCAATCTGGAGAGACCAAAACAAAAAGATTAATGCATTTAGAAAGATGTATTTGTTTGGTGCATTGACCCCGGCAGGGACACTTGCAGAAGGGAGATCATTGCTGCCGTAGATGATCTCAGATCCCCCGGGGTCAAGCACTGGTGGTGGCTAGAGTATGGTTTGAATGGGGCGTAGGCGGAGAAGGAGCCAAAGCAGGAGCCAGAGCAGCAGGAGTCAGGGCAGGAGCCAGAGCAGGAGCCAGAACAGGAGCCAGAGCAGGAGCCAGAACAGGAGCCAGAGCAGGAGCCAGATTAGGAGTTCGAGGAGGCGCTGGGTGTCAAAAGCTTTGAGAAGCGCTGGTTATTAGGAAGTGGCTGCTTTTAAATTGACCGCATTGCTGTCGACAGGAGGGCTGGCCGAGCTGTGTGATTGGCTGAGGCTCAAGGTTGGCGGAACTGTGTGATTGGCTGAGGCTCGAGAGCTTGGCCCTGGATGGGGTGAGAGCTGCAGCAGAGGTCTTCCCAGTCTGAATTTACGCTTAAGATTTATAATGTGAAAATCTCTTAGCGGGGCATGCACTCTCCGAGTCATGCCTTAGTTTTCACTTGTATTGATCCTGGTGATATTTTAGTGAATCTGCGTCTTATGGACTTTGTGTGGCGTTGTGTAGTTGTTGTCCTATTAAAGGAGACATATTATTGAAACATATCATACTGCTGCAGTGTTTTCTCACCTTTGACTTTGGCAAAGTTTGATGCATCTTTAAATAATCTTGTTATTTTCTTTGCTCAGAAAATATCCGTTGTCACTCTGCGGTGTATGAAGATAATGTGTGACTGACTACTTGTTGTCAACTTTTCTGACCCAACAGAACCAGAGAGCGTTCTTAATCTCACTGTTACTGATGTCACAACATCGTCCCTGAGCTTGAACTGGACTAAACCACAGGGACGCAGCTCCATCTATTCAGTTCAGTGGACTGATGGAGGCCACTCCAAGGAAGAGACTGTGACTGAAACATTCAGAGTCATTTCTAACCTGACTTCTGGTGTGGAGTATAATATAACTGTCACTGCTGTGGCAGGAGACAATGAAACAAAAGGAAGTGGTGTGAGCATAAGTCAGTTCACAAGTAAGTAAAAGAGGAGAGGAAATGTCAGATAAGTCCACGGAATCACTGACATGTCCTTTGTCCTTCTTCATAACATGTATCAAATCTGGAAGGTGACAGTTTTACTGCACTGACAAATATGTTAAACATTGATACATTTGTCGAGTTTGTTTGACCTGGATACAAAAGTCCACACAGACTCATGTCATAGACTGTGTCTGCTTCAGAAAGATGTGTAGATTCATGTAGTTGTAGTAGGTTATCATTATCCTGCTGATGGATAATGTGATCACCTGTGTGTGTATGTGTTTTTGTGTGTGTGCGTGTGTTTGTGTGAGAGAGTGTGTTTGTGTGAGAGAGAGTGTGTGTGTGATTGTGAGTCTGTTTGTCTGGAGGCAGAATTGTGCAAAAACTTCGGGTGAATTAAGATGAAATTAGGTGTGTAGATGTGATGTGATGGGAGGAAGACACTATTTATTCAATCTGGAGAGACCAAAACAAAAACATTAATGCATTTAGAAAGATGTATTTGTTTGGTGCATTGACCCCGGCAGGGACACTTGCAGAAGGGAGATCATTGCTGCCGTAGATGATCTCAGATCCCCCGGGGTCAAGCACTGGTGGTGGCTAGAGTATGGTTTGAATGGGGCGTAGGCGGAGAAGGAGCCAAAGCAGGAGCCAGAGCAGCAGGAGTCAGGGCAGGAGCCAGAGCAGGAGCCAGAACAGGAGCCAGAGCAGGAGCCAGAACAGGAGCCAGAGCAGGAGCCAGATTAGGAGTTCGAGGAGGCGCTGGGTGTCAAAAGCTTTGAGAAGCGCTGGTTATTAGGAAGTGGCTGCTTTTAAATTGACCGCATTGCTGTCGACAGGAGGGCTGGCCGAGCTGTGTGATTGGCTGAGGCTCAAGGTTGGCGGAACTGTGTGATTGGCTGAGGCTCGAGAGCTTGGCCCTGGATGGGGTGAGAGCTGCAGCAGAGGTCTTCCCAGTCTGAATTTACGCTTAAGATTTATAATGTGAAAATCTCTTAGCGGGGCATGCACTCTCCGAGTCATGCCTTAGTTTTCACTTGTATTGATCCTGGTGATATTTTAGTGAATCTTCTGCGTCTTATGGACTTTGTGTGGCGTTGTGTAGTTGTTGTCCTATTAAAGGAGACATATTATTGAAACATATCATACTGCTGCAGTGTTTTCTCACCTTTGACTTTGGCAAAGTTTGATGCATCTTTAAATAATCTTGTTATTTTCTTTGCTCAGAAAATATCCGTTGTCACTCTGCGGTGTATGAAGATAATGTGTGACTGACTACTTGTTGTCAACTTTTCTGACCCAACAGAACCAGAGAGCGTTCTTAATCTCACTGTTACTGATGTCACAACATCGTCCCTGAGCTTGAACTGGACTAAACCACAGGGACGCAGCTCCATCTATTCAGTTCAGTGGACTGATGGAGGCCACTCCAAGGAAGAGACTGTGACTGAAACATTCAGAGTCATTTCTAACCTGACTTCTGGTGTGGAGTATAATATAACTGTCACTGCTGTGGCAGGAGACGGTGAAACAAAAGGAAGTGGTGTGAGCATAAGTCAGTTCACAAGTAAGTAAAAGAGGAGAGGAAACGTCAGATAAGTCCACGGAATCACTGACATGTCCTTTGTCCTTCTTCATAACATGTATCAAATCTGGAAGGTGACAGTTTTACTGCACTGACAAATATGTTAAACATTGATACATTTGTCGAGTTTGTTTGACCTGGATACAAAAGTCCACACAGACTCATGTCATAGACTGTGTCTGCTTCAGAAAGATGTGTAGATTCATGTAGTTGTAGTAGGTTATCATTATCCTGCTGATGGATAATGTGATCACCTGTGTGTGTATGTGTTTTTGTTAGTGTGCGTGTGTTTGTGTGAGAGAGTGTGTTTGTGTGAGAGAGAGTGTGTGTGTGATTGTGAGTCTGTTTGTCTGGAGGCAGAATTGTGCAAAAACTTCGGGTGAATTAAGATGAAATTAGGTGTGTAGATGTGATGTGATGGGAGGAAGACACTATTTATTCAATCTGGAGAGACCAAAACAAAAACATTAATGCATTTAGAAAGATGTATTTGTTTGGTGCATTGACCCCGGCAGGGACACTTGCAGAAGGGAGATCATTGCTGCCGTAGATGATCTCAGATCCCCCGGGGTCAAGCACTGGTGGTGGCTAGAGTATGGTTTGAATGGGGCGTGGCGGAGAAGGAGCCAAAGCAGGAGCCAGAGCAGCAGGAGTCAGGGCAGGAGCCAGAGCAGGAGCCAGAACAGGAGCCAGAGCAGGAGCCAGAACAGGAGCCAGAGCAGGAGCCAGATTAGGAGTTCGAGGAGGCGCTGGGTGTCAAAAGCTTTGAGAAGCGCTGGTTATTAGGAAGTGGCTGCTTTTAAATTGACCGCATTGCTGTCGACAGGAGGGCTGGCCGAGCTGTGTGATTGGCTGAGGCTCAAGGTTGGCGGAACTGTGTGATTGGCTGAGGCTCGAGAGCTTGGCCCTGGATGGGGTGAGAGCTGCAGCAGAGGTCTTCCCAGTCTGAATTTACACTTAAGATTTATAATGTGAAAATCTCTTAGCGGGGCATGCACTCTCCGAGTCATGCCTTAGTTTTCACTTGTATTGATCCTGGTGATATTTTAGTGAATCTTCTGCGTCTTATGGACTTTGTGTGGCGTTGTGTAGTTGTTGTCCTATTAAAGGAGACATATTATTGAATCATATCATACTGCTGCAGTGTTTTCTCACCTTTGACTTTGGCAAAGTTTGATGCATCTTTAAATAATCTTGTTATTTTCTTTGCTCAGAAAATATCCGTTGTCACTCTGCGGTGTATGAAGATAATGTGTGACTGACTACTTGTTGTCAACTTTTCTGACCCAACAGAACCAGAGAGCGTTCTTAATCTCACTGTTACTGATGTCACAACATCGTCCCTGAGCTTGAACTGGACTAAACCACAGGGACGCAGCTCCATCTATTCAGTTCAGTGGACTGATGGAGGCCACTCCAAGGAAGAGACTGTGACTGAAACATTCAGAGTCATTTCTAACCTGACTTCTGGTGTGGAGTATAATATAACTGTCACTGCTGTGGCAGGAGACAATGAAACAAAAGGAAGTGGTGTGAGCATAAGTCAGTTCACAAGTAAGTAAAAGAGGAGAGGAAATGTCAGATAAGTCCACGGAATCACTGACATGTCCTTTGTCCTTCTTCATAACATGTATCAAATCTGGAAGGTGACAGTTTTACTGCACTGACAAATATGTTAAACATTGAAACATTTGTCAAGTTTGTTTGACCTGGATACAAAAGTCCACACAGACTCATGTCATAGACTGTGTCTGCTTCAGAAAGATGTGTAGATTCATGTAGTTGTATTAGGTTATCATTATCTTGCTGAAGGGTAATGTG